CCCTCTTGATTAAATGTTTCTGCTGGTTGTCAGGTATGACAATATGATGGGTGATAAATCCAGTTTGGAGTGTCTGCTCCTACAGGGCAGAATGCAGACTGCTTCATGTGCCCTTTGAATTTCTGATGATGAACAGAGAGGCATGATTTGGTGACAGGCACTATGGGGGACTCAATAAAAAAAATAGCAGCAGCCTTAACAGAGATTATTGAGGGCATACCATGCGCTGGTAGCTTTGGGATAAAAATCTCATTTTATCCTATGCAGCCCCAAGCATTGGGCTGTTAGGATGATCATTGCAGAGATTATTGACCATTTGTTCAGGGCATGTGTCTCTAGCGCCCAGGACAGTGCCTGGCACATGGCAGGTACTCAGTTAATACTTGCTGAAAGAATGAATGAATCACACAACAAATGAGAAAATGGAAAAGTCAGAGAGTTTAAGTCATTTGCCCAACACCATATTGATAGTAAGAGACAAAACCAGGAACTGTGTATTTCTAAAGCTAAAAGTTCTGTCTGCTGCACTCGCCGTTGTGTTCCGGTTATATCTACCAAGACTTCTTTGCCTCTAAAAGACTACATTTTAACATTTTATGCCTGTTCCCTTAAGCACTGCCTCCAGTCCACTTCTATTTGTTATGTTCTTTTTTCTTGTCCTTTCATAGCTTTATATTCTTGCATATGCTGAAAATTCTTTACCTGCTGTAACTTAGGGAGGTGATATGGGTCTTTTCTTATTTGGAATATTAGACCAGATAAAATGGTAACTGAAAACATCCATTATTTTATGTTATCAATATTTGCTTTCCATTAATAGTAATAATTGAGTAGCTTTCCTGTGTTTGTATCCCACTAATCTCTTGGCCTTTAAACTCTTTAAAGGTAGTATTTCCCAGGTGTCTTCTCATAGGGTTCTGGAAAGCAAATACTGCCCCACCTCTCCATGTTTTCTATAACTGGATGAAGTGTTTTTACCATGGTAGGTGGATTTTTCTGCCTGCCTGTTTCAGGATAACTTTTTTTTTTTTTTTTTTTTTTTTTTTTTTTT